TGAAATTTTAACTTTATGTCAAACCTCAAGGCGTAAAATAAAGAGTTATAGTATACTTTAACTTCAAGTCAAGATTTTAGATTAAAGCTAATGCTAAACGTAATGTCAAACTTCAATATTTCAGCTTATGAGCTAAGGTGAGTTTTAACTGATTGTCAAAATTCATGGTTAAATCTAAAAGCTAAAGTGAACTTGAACATAGTGTCAAACTTCAAAGCTGAGAAGTTTAGCCGCACGTCAAAATGAAAGGTTAAAGCTACAGATCTAAAGTGAAGATTAACTTCATACCAAATTTCAAGGTTCACGTCAACGTAACATGACCTCAGTATGCTACATTTTGACAATCAGTTAAGCAAGCTAGCGTTAAGCTGGCTGACATTCGATAAGAAATAAGTCCAAAAACGTGCTCAAAGAGGGTATTTTGTAGTCTCTACTCTAGTTGTTTGCTTGCATTTTGCATAAACTCCTTTTTATGGCTTAGGTTTATTGATATTTTCTTGGCTTTTGGCTAATTTGAATTCAATGCGGCTGCTTAATATTAAAGGGCACTAAAAAAATTCAAAAATGGCAGCGCAACGAAAATTATTTCACTTTTCGCAGGCGTCATAAATTGGAAAATAAAATTTTCATTTCAGTCGGTGTAATTATGTTTACGCCGCTTTATGGCATACAGAAGATCCAAGTGTGTGCGCGCGCGCGTGTGTGTGTGTGTGTGTAAAGATATTTTATAGCAAATTAAATTTTATTAGCGCACAGTGTGCGTTGACATTCTCTTTTCCGGATTACGTGTTACGGCTCAAGTAGATTATGGAAAGGTGTACAACTTTTACCTAAAGCGATTTGGAGGGGGGGAGCGAGAGTGGCTTGAGGGGCTGGGGAAGGGGTAAAAGTGGTTTGGGGTGCTGTCGTTTCGAGTAGTTGTCATTGTCATTGTCCTTATCAACGGCGACAACAAAAAGTTTTGCAAAACATCTTCTTACAAGTGCCAGGACATGCGTGCAGACAAAAAACAACTCTATGCCAGCTTCAGGTGCGCTGTGCGTGTGTCTGCGTGTGTGTGCGTGTACTATGTGTAACCTTTTGCTGCTGCCGGCATTATGATGAGTTTTGCTTTTGCCAGACTCTAAGGCTAAACTCGTAAATACCTTCATTATCGTTAAATCATGCTGAGAGCTGAACTCCCGCCACCCTTTGAACCGAACCGAACTGAACCAAAGCGAACCGAACTGAACTGAACTGAACTGAACTGAACTGAACTGAGCTGAGCCCAAGCCAACTGAACAAAACTCAGCTTGTGCCTTGCCTTTTATTTGCCCTTTATTTTCTAGGTCTGTTGCCGTACTTTTGCTGTCTCTACGGCTTTGTGCCCGGCTCATGTGGACTTTTAAATAGATTTAAATGCGCATTTAAATGAAATAAATGAACAGCATTTTCATGGGCCTTTCGCTCACATATTTGAATGGCAGTTCATATATATGTATTTTAGCCGAGTGCTCTTTGCCACACACACACACACACACACACACGCATACGTACACTTGCTGTAACTTTCACACTTTTCACAATTTTCCATTTCTTTTTTGCCGCTGCTGCTGCACCAGCTCATTTGTCAGACAGATAGCCCCGGCTCTGTGCCGCAGCTTTTATGCGACTTTCTTCACTTTTCTTTTTGCGCAAGTTTCTCGCGCACTTTTGATTCACGACCAACCGGAAATTGTGAAAAGATTTTCGCTAATGGCAAAACTTTCGCTTCATTTTTAACATTCACGCCTAATAGACTAGCAAATTAATATACAATCGAGGTACACCTGAAGGGCAAGCAGCATGAAAATAAATCAAAATAAGCACTGACTACATAATACCCTTCAGAATATGCATAAATAAATATGCGCCTACATATGCCGCATTCTGTGTGCGCTGCCTTTGATAATTTCTAGGGTATCGGTACATTTGCGGGCTGGGTATGTAATGCATACCATTAGCCAGGCCCGCCGCAATGATTTAATGAGCTGCGCCCCCAACAAACAGTCTGGCAGCGCTCCTCCCTTCCCTTCGGTGGGAGGCACATCCGCTAAGCAAAAACTTTGGCACCATAAAAATGCAATTAGATGAAATTTATTATGATTTTCGCAGGCATGTTAATTACAAATATTCATAAATTAGGACAGGCCGGTGACGTCACGGCCGCTGCCAAAATGCGTATCATGACTTATGCGAGACACACACACACACACACACACACACACCAGTGCACTCAGCTGCGAGTGTGTCTGTGTGTGTGTTTGTAAGGGCAAAACAAATTTTAATTAAAAACTCGATTCGTTGAAAAGTTGCGCACAACTTTCGCCTTTTGCCTGCTTGAGAACTTGAGAACTGTCGCTACGCAGGATACGCGCCTCCTGCCCGATTCTGCCCCGATTCTGCCCCATCCTGCACCTGTTTATGCATGTTAGCTGGCAGCCAATTTAAGAACTTAACTCGCTAAATGTAAAAATAATTGCCACTAAAAACAACCAAAAAAGCCAAAAGTTTTCTATGCACAAATAGCAAAAGTTTAGCTATCAAATGAACATGAATGCACAATGTGCTCCTCTGTGCCAGTGTGTGTGTATGCATGTGTGTGTGTGTATATGTATGTGTGACTGTGTGTGTGTGTGTCTCTGATTTAGTTATGCATTCATTTTGCTTTATGAACTTTTCATAGCTTTGGCACCCACAAAAAAGCCAAAGTGTGACCAATTGGATTTCTTATGAATGCAACTTTTGACTTTGCGGTCAAATAGGTTGCCAAAAAGTTAATATACCCCAGGCAAAATGAGCACAGAGATTTCTTTCTGTCCTGCAAAAGTCAAAGAGAAGCAACAAACTATTTGATAAAATATTAATAAACTTAACATGGCAATGGACAGCTGCAGTGTATAGCTTTTAATAAGCTCTTAAAACTAAAGAAAATATAAATAAAATATATACAAACAGACGGATGGACAGACAGATAGACGGGCATCGACTCAAAGGCGTCTCCTTCGGCATGCGTAACGTCCTATTACACTATTAACGAAAAATACAGGATATCTTCGGCACGCTGAAAACCTAACACATGTAGACATTTTACTTTTGCAAATATGTGAGAATAGTGAAGATCGTAAATGCTGAGTTTGATGAAAATATCTTTGAAAACAGAATATTTTGCCATATAAGAAACTACTTTTCGATCGATCTTTCTTATGGTAACTACTTGATATAGTGGTGCGATTTTGTTGATGCTGATCTAGAATATATAGGCTATATGCGATCGGAGATGTCTTCTTCTATGCTTAACACATTTCATGAGAAAATTATAATAACCTCTGCAAGGGTATACAAATAAAAAGGCTATGAAGTGACAATAAAAGTTTTCAGATACCTGGTAAAGTAATTGAACTTCAAATTCAAAACATTTCTTTCTTTTATATATATTGTATTTAAGATTGAAAGACAGATTATAAACATATAAACAACATATATAATCTAATTGATCTGTTTATTGGCTATCAGAAGAATGTTTATCAGAATATTTTTCTTTGTTAACAAAGAAGCATAACAAAATTCTTGGAAGTAATTTATTTGTGAATACGCAAACTGTGCGAGTCCAAGAGATTGTGGGTGCAAAACAAAGCGAAAGACCGTCAACTTGAGTATAATAAAATTCGTATAAAGAAGATTCGTTTAGTCAAAATGTTGTTGACCAAGCGAGAAAAACTAATTGTAGTTGACCTGCTACCCATATTCTTGACATATTTGGGTGATTACCCGTTGATATAGATATGTATATGGTATATACAGATATTAAAGGAATTTCGCCTTTTAATTAATATAGCAGGGTGCACAGCATAAGGATAAGATATTCCTCTTTTGTCTGCTCTCTACATCGATATTATTTTACTCGCTGAGCTCCTTTTGGTGGAGATACGAGAATCTTACCCGACGCATGTTCCATGTCGAGTTCTTTATTTGGCTGCTGGTTCTGTTGTTGTTTCACGCCGCAACAGGTAAATAATCGATTGGCTAGCACTTGAAGCTGATAATTAACAGATAACTAATACTGCATATAAAATATAACGATAAGGCCTCATTTATTACGGCTCTCGTGGGCTATCTGATGTATTGGGTATACATGGCGTATGAGGAATTAAAACAAAGCGGCTCTGCAACAGCGCCCGTGTCGCATGAAATCCATCTAACGTGTAGAAGCCACCACTTGCCGATCCCAGCACAGTCTGTTTGATGCTTTTAGCTTTTAGCCCAGAAACGAGAGATTTAATGTGCTTTATATGTTAATTGATAAATATAATACAGCTGATCAATTTTATAAACCAAGAAGTAGCGATAAGTGCAAGTGAGAGGGCGAAAGAGAGCACTAGATGTTGTGAGAGAAAAAGACTGACAGCTCCAATCATGCTGATAATAATACCATTATACCCTTTCGTAGGGTTTTATTAAACTGGCACGAGATATGTAACGCACAGAAAAGGCAGCTTTGGAATATATGTTCTGATAATTTTAAGGCCGCCCTCATATCTGCCTTTTTGTTGCAGGCAATATATATTTGAGCATCGGCCAGATCGGGCTACTATATCATAGGATAGATTGTTCGGAAATTGAGTTCTTGTTTGAGAAACTTTCTCTTTCGAGATATTTTAATATAACTTGTCATTTGTAAGCTTTATACTATCTGGAGGTTATCATAACCTAGACTTCTCAAAGCCCGTAAATCAGTATTAACATCCGCTTCGATACAAGTCTTAAGCTATCATAAAGATATGTTCAGCTTTAAAGCAAATCCTTGAGCAAAGTCGAGCTATTCATATCAATAAACGATCGAAAAATAAGTTTGAGTCTCAATATTCTCCTAACATATCTTTAACATCATATCAAATCGGACTGGTAGTGTATTCAATTTTCGCCGTGCCGAAGATAAGCGCTTTTTTTCTGTTGTTTATTAACTGTTGTGCTAATTTCAGTTCAGAAATTTCAGTTTGCCTTCAATTGTTGAGACGAAATGACGAAATTTTGCAAGCAACATATACTCATTGCAATTGGCCCGATTGTCATGGGCATGTCCCTGGCCACATTTGCTATGGATTCATATTGTAAGTGTATTGTTAGTCCAATATGGAATTTGGCTAATATCTGATTAGATTTGAGGCAGGAGTTCCTGGCCGTTATTCGTGCGCTGCAGGTGATGGCAACTGTTTCGCTGCTCTTTGGAGTTCTTAAAAAGGAAAAGCTGCATAAGGATAAATTTCTGCTCTTCTGGTTGATCATTACGTCCATCTTCTTTGGTGTAGCGTGCTATTTTTGTTTGGGATTTATAACTGATGATTTATTTGAATCATTTTATGACTTTGGGGTGTTCCTGCTGGCGTTGCTGGTTTTGTTACTTCTATTGGGCGGCACAGGTAAGAAAGTTAATCAACAGCAATCCTAATCTGTTACGTTCAAAGTATCACTCGAATGACTAATGAAATAACTGACGAAATTGCAGCGTTTCTGGGCTACCTGATGTACTACGTGTACCAAGAGTATGCGAGGCTCCGGACAGAAAACTCAGAATCAACAGCTGCGGCAAGTGAGAGAAATGCAGTCGTAGAAACCAAGGAGCCGCCCCCGACATATGAAAGTACTGGAAATTTAACTGTCTCAATACAGAATTAATGCATTCATTTCTAATATTAATTGAGATATAATATTTCATATTAATCAAAAACTGCAATAAAATGTTGTGATAACAAGAGTATCAGAGAGAGAGAGAGGGAGAGAGAGAGACATTTATAGAACAGTTCAATAAAGATAAATATATACTCGTACACTTCATAATCAGCTGTATATATTGATTAACGCTCATCGTTCAGTTCAGTTAGCTTTGAATCGATGAGTTAAAATGTTGTATATCAAGCGATACATGGAAATAGCCATTGGGCTTTCGGTATTTGGACTGACAATGGCTACAAATGTGCTGCCCTTTGGCTGTAAGGTCTAAATAGGCTGTGAGTCGACACCTTTTCATACAGAGTTCTCTTTTTCGCTGGCTAGTTAATCGGAAGCTGGAGCAAATACGTCTACTGCAGTTCTCGGCGACTTTGGTGCAGATCTTTGGAGTATTGCGTGCACATCAACAGCATAAGTATAAGTTTCTGCTCGTCTGGCTGGTTGTCACCTCGGTCAGCCTGGTCGCTACGCTCTATGCTGGCTTGAGGGAGCTCACGGATCGTAGCTCCATTCTTGGGGCGGCATTAGCTTGGTCGCTTGCTGGTGAGCATTAAACGGCGACTGTGTCCTGCTCTTCGTGATTTTTGGCTTATGTGTGCATCTATTATTTCAGGTTTTGTTGCTGCTTTGCTGAACATCATGTACAATCGTTATGTGGAAATGACAATTGGAGCTGCAGAAACGGACACGGAAATCCTTCAGACCGTTCAGACGCCGGTATTTGAGACAAAAAAACCGGTGAATAGTTTTATTTAAGTCTGAGAAATAAATTCAAATGCAACTTCAACAATTAAGAAAGTGTTACACAGTTTTTATTTAGCTGGATGCCTTTTTCACGTATATTAACTAAAGTATTCAAATTGCTAATAGTTAATAAAATAAAGTAGCCTTAAAAACGCGTGGCAAAGAAACCAAGACACACACACACTCATGTGCAGCCATAAACAAAGGCCGCGCAAAAGTTTGACGGCGAAAACTAATTTTGAAATTTGTGCCTCATAAGTGCCAAATGCTACGCAAAGGAACAGGAAACTCTACAAAATGAACTCGACTGCCACAAAATGTCGAAAGCTCGAGCGCAGAGTTGCAAACTACATTCAAAGCAATTGATTGGAGTGCACCTATACATAGCCAAGCAGATGTATGTACAATAATTAGGCGACTTTTGGCCAATGCTGGCTGTGGGAGAGGGGCAGGCGGCAAGTGTGCCGAAAGTGTGGCAGGATCGTCAGCAACGCAACGCAACGCAACGCATTTCCCTTATGTGTTAATTTTAATTAAAAACTGTCTGTTTCCATGTGCCGCCCGCCACTTGGCGCTCAGAAGTTGCCGCAAAGTTTGCCAAATTTGCTGCTGCTCCAATTTGCATTTTTGGCAAAGCCAATGCCAGAGACCAAGCGGCAGCCAATGCTGAATTTATGTTATCAAATTAAATTTTGTACAAATGTGACAAGCGCACTTGCATAAATTACTCGAGTCCAAATTTAATTTGTGCGCAGCAGCATTTCCCTGCCTTAAATGCGCTCATTTGGCAACAAACCAGCTGAATAACTTTTCTAATACACAACAAAAAACTCGACAAGTTGTAAGAAAAACAGCTCAAGAAAAAATAATAATCAAGACAATTATTCCCGGAAGTGCTGGAAAGTTGAAAATATCAAAATGACCCCTGCGAAATGAGCGCGAATAAAAAAAGAAGCCCCAGCGGCGGAGCAGTAAACTTAGAGCTGCAAACACTTTACTGGCGCCATCTATTGATGGGCAGTATAGGTTTAAAGGTTGATGAAGCTTTTTTTTTACTATTTTTCTTTAAGCTAATGCATCTCTTAACATTTAATTGTCGTTTATTTAATAAACTTAAAATCAATACCCGAAACATATTAATTTATTAGTTCTGTTAAATTAAAGCAAAAGCTTTGGCTAAGCTAAGGTTAGGGAAGGTCGCCAAACTTTAAAACGTTGTTTATATTTTTCGAAACAATAAACAAAATTGTGGATTATCAACATTTCTTCAAAGTTGTTATCTTATCTTGTCCCTAATATTCCAGGTACTGATACATTTTTTGCGTCATTTATTATCTTAAAAGCTTTTCGCAATCAATTTCACGTACAACGAATTTCATGTTGAAACGTAAAGTTATCAATAAAAAAAAGCATTTTAAAATGTAGTTAAAAACTTATAATAAGCTTTATATATACTCTTTATTATAGTTATACTATGTTTATCTTTCTATCATATTGGGAGAATTATTGAAGGGAGAAGGCCTAAGAACAAATTTCTCTCTTTCTCCCTCTCTTGCTCTCTCTCCCCATATCCATCTTTTTCCCTATCTCTTAATCTCTCTCTCTCTCTCTCTCTCTCTTTCCTTTTGTCTTCTTATCTATCAGTACTTGTGATCAGATATAAATTTCATATCGATTGTTCTCTCTCTCCCGCTCTTACTCGCCCTGCCTCGCTATTTTACACTCTCCCTGCATTTTTTCTCCCTGTTTGCTTATCAAGAACTCAGCTTATCGTTGTCGAATACAAAAAAACATTTGATCGATTCTGTTGGGTTAATATTTGGCAATGAGACGGCGTCATTTGGAGCTGCTGCATCGGGAATATGTCAAATCATTGAGACGAAATAACGACATTTGGCCAGCATTTGGGCACGTATTTATTTGGCTAAAGCGTGGCATAAAAATTGTATTAAACTGGTATTAAAATCATGGCCTGTCTATGGACAGCGTTGGGCATGCGATGACACAACTCGAAATCGACACAGTAAAATGGCCATTAAAATAATAAGGAGACCCCAATGGCCGACAGACGAACCGACTGACTGCCCCACACAGCCAGCTAATGGCCAGGCAATGATCACAATGTGCGTGCATGTGTGTGTGTATGTGTGCTTAAATATGAGCAGCACGTGCCGCAGACCCACAATGAACTGAACGTAAAGCAATTCGTGACCCGGTCAGCCTCTAGTACTTATGCAAATAATTTACATGGTTTGTGAGCCGTGCTTAGTGGTCAGCAGTTGGCTTAATAAGCACCAGGATTTTGGTCAACCGCATACTGCTTGCTTTTTGCTGGCTGCCTTAAATGGGCTTAAACTTAACAGGCAGACAAAACTTGAACGCTTTGCCTGTGGCTCGGCGATTAGCTGAGGGGGCGGCAGCCACGTTGCAAGCAATTCATTAGCTGTCAACTTCAACCCATTGACGAGCCACTCAAAATATGGCCAACTGTCTGCCGCTGATGAGCTGTGAGCTGTGGCCATCTCGCTGGCCATTTGGGCTGATTGCCAACAACATTAACGATGGCGTTCCATGGCACAATCCATGCTGTTGTTGACAAGTGCAAGTTTTCAATTAACGACAACGCGACAATTGAATGCCATCAAATTAAAGCCATAAGGAGTAACAACATGGAGCTGACTCTGGTTACGGCCTGTCAGACGACTTGATATGGCCATAAATTATGCGCCAGGCAGCTGACAGTTAATAGGGCAACATGCCACAGACCCACTAACTTGGCCCACACGGGCTAACATGCTAAGCAGCAGGCGCGCGCGATTATCTTAATTTATTCACGAGACCAGTGGTCAGTATGCGTGTGTGTGTGCTGGTGTGTGTGTGTATGCAGCTGGGAAAATAAATATAAATTGCAAAAACTGTCAAAGCCAAAGGCACACAAAAAAAAAGGGAATGCAATGAAAAGCTTCGAGAGTCCAAAGGCAATAGTTGTTGTTGCTGCGGCTGCTTCTGCCACAAGTTGAGTGTGCGTGTGTGTTTGTGTGTGTTTTTGGCACAATAAGGAAATTTTTATCGCTGCCGCATTTGACATTTGAAGTATGCGCTGCAAAATTTATTGTTGAACCTCCCTATTTTGCTTGTTTCAATACAAAACCGATAAAGCCCCCGAACCAAAAAAGAAAAAACTTTGCCCTTTTGCGCCTTGGAATTTCAATTTCGATTCCAGCTTTAAAACTCTGCCATTGATTGCTGCTGCTGTTGCCTAAAAAATGAAAATAAATACACAAAATACTCAACAATTGGCAAGCGAAAGCAAAATTTGTGTTTCGAGTAGTTTGTCCAGCTGAAAAGCGAATGGTCAGCGGCAGGAGAGGTGAGGGCGTGGTGGGGGACTGGAAGCTTGTAGGGTAAGTGAGGCTTCTTTTGAATATACCTGTTGAAATATAGTTTTCCCATACCAATTTTCTAAATGCACGCAAAAGTCAAAAGCAACAAATGATGCCGCACGCAGCGCAGCGATGGCCCTGAGGGGAAAATGGGAGACATCGCAGCAGGAGGGGGCGGAGCGGGGCGGGGCGGGGCGGGGCGGGGCTGTGTGACAGGATGCCAAGAGACAGAACTGTCATTGATTGTCACACATTGTGAGCCCAGGGGAAACGCGTTGTTCTCTCATTCTCTCTCTCTCTCTCTCTATGCATGATTTGTATGGCTGTCTCGCTTTCATCTCTGATTGCTGACGCCATTGCAAGATTGTAATTGTGCGTGTTGCTGTAGCTGTTATTGTTGTTGTTGTTGTTGTTGTTGATTATGGCTGGCAGCAATCAGCTTATAAATATTGCATGGACTCCACAGTAAAACGATTGAAAAACAATGCGCTGAGAGACGCCAAGTGGTTCAATAATGCAAACGCAATGCACTGCGAAACAAAGCATAGAAAAGCACGCCCCTTCCTGCAGGCCGCGTCGTGTCCTTGTCGGGACTCTTTATCGGGCAGGCTAACAATGACAGCAGTGCCACCTGCCACCTGCCACTTGCCACCTGGCCACCAAATCAACACGCTTGCATTTGGCCGTTTCGCTTGCCACGTGACGTCAATGCAAAATGAGCGGCAATTGCAACGATGCGTATACGCAATGTGCCCAAAAAGTTGTTTGGCTCGCGTTAGCAACTTACGCATCACATTTACATAACAATAGCCGGCATTTGCACCGTCCCGCCCCGCTTCTACTCTCTGCACAGAGCCCAACTTGCGCTAAGTGTGACAATAAATTGCTGTCAACTTTT